AAAGAGTATGGCATTTAGAAAGTGGATGAAGTGCTTGGATTCAAAGGATGGAATGAGTTCAAAGCAATGCATCTCCCTCACCTACAGTCACTGAACAAAACTTGGTTCTTCTCCATGGATCATATATTGCATATAATTTAGACTGTTTATTGGCCCTTTTTTTGGGTAGATAAGGCCATGGACTTTTTAAATAGTTGTATACGGAAAACGTTGAATTTAAAAGTGAAATACATGTAAATAGATAAAAATTTTGATTTAGTGAATATATGACAGATTGAGAGCTTTTACACCCATGTGACCAAGTTCATTCCAAGTTATTCAAACATAATCAAAACAAAGGTGCAATTATTTGGGGAAGGATGGATGGCTGGATGCCCCAACCCTCACCCATCCATCGTCCAACCAAAGAGTTCAATATTGAAGTCTCCGAATGGAGGTTATGAAATTCAAAGCATGGACATATGCTAACGAAAGTAAATAAAAATAATTGAATATTTTACAATAATTAAAATCTAGGTAGCTTAGCCTACATATTTGGCAGGGGACCATTAACCAAGGTATGAAAGGCCTCTCATTTAAGGCATGATTAGCTCACCTTAGACTTTAGGCCATTCTTAGTAAATTATTCAAATATGACAAGTCAACATAAAAACAATCCCAACTTATCCATTCTTTAATGAATTTTATCAAGCTGTGATGGATGAGTAATGGCAAATTTTATCAACTTATCCATTCTTTAACAACCCTAACCTAAAGTACAATATCACTAAATCGAAACGTCCGTTCAATTTTATAAATTCTTTTAAAAAAAATTTTGTTTAAAAATATATCTTTTAACTAATATTATTAAAAAATAATTAAAAGTTTTATTAGTATATTACACATGCTAGTTTTTATATTAGTTTAATAAATTTAATTAATTTGTTGATTGTATAAAATTTGATATTGTTCAATATATATTAATAAGTAAAATTTTTTATCAAAATATTATAAATATTATATCAATATAAAAATTATCATGTTAATTAACATAAATAAAATTTTTAATTTAAAATTTTACTTTATTAAATATGAATACCTAAATTTAAAAATTAATTAGTTATATAATTAGTTTCTAAATCTATGTATAAACATTTAATAAAGTGAACTTTTAAATTTTTTTAATTAGATTTGTGGTTGCTAAATATAAGAATAAACATTTAATAAATTAGATTTTTGAATTTTGAATTGAATTTTAATAAATAAAACAAAATCATTTAAGGTTAAAATTTTATTTTTTTTAAAAAAATTAAGATTGATAGGAACTATTTTCATATATTTATGAATATATAAATA